TATTGACCCATTAGTTACTGGATAAAATATAAGTTTTAAAATGACTAAGTTAATGGATTAGATGGAAATAATTGGTATGCAGTGTAGTGTAATGTAAATAATAAATAAATATGTTTTGAATCATTCTTTATTTAAAACAGCCTGATTTTGTTAACAGAGCTCTCATACTAACAAGCTATACATTTCACTTATTTACTACTTTACAAAAAGTAACAAAAACAGAATATTAGGTACTGTTGTGCAGACTTATTTTCTTCAAACAATTGATGTAAACCAAATTATATTATTCATCTACAATTCTAGCAATGCCCTTTAGCCCTTTGTTTGGACAATGGATAGAAATTGATAAATCATTAACTACTACTATTGGGGGACAATTACATGGGTACATTACGTGCTAGAAATTATCAAAATTAATATACTATGTATGTAATGAAACCAATATATTGCTTTTATTTTAATAATATTTAAAAAATCCTCACAGGAAACAATGCTTGATAAATTACACTTACAATATAATTTAATAAATAGTTACCATGGACTAGTTGAACAAATATTTTTGAGAGGGAATGGAGTCATCAGAGGTAGGAGACTTTGCTGGTTTTAACAAGTTTGATACTTCTGACACAACTAAGGTTGTCAGTTTTATGATAGCCAAATGTGCTGCTAACTGTAATACTAGTGCACCAAAGCCTTTGTACAGGCCTGACACTCCTTCCTTGGCTATGGTGGAGTTGTAGCAATCCATAAAGCCTTCATAACCAGTCAGTATTGGTATAACTGATGTGCCGGTGTCCAAGTTATCTACTATTGTTCTGGTGCCCTGCAAGGAAATTACATTATTTGAATGAATGTTTAAAGTACTTTTTAAAACATAAATTTCATTGTTACAGTTTGATGTTTATTGTTTGAATATTTTAAAAACATTAAAGTACCTGTATGTGAAGTCTATGGATAATGGTTTCGACTGGGTAGAATATAATTTCCATTGCAATAAAAGATATAATGTTGGCTTTCAAACTGATATCCTCAATCAGAGGGTTTGAGGTTTTGCTGTAGTTCACATTGTACGAGTCACTAAGCTCATGTCTGTGTCTTTGTTGGAAACGGAGTACTTTCTCAGTTATCTTTTTAAATGTTATGCTGAAATAGAAATTATATTTATAAACTTATTTTGAAATTAATAATAATATATTGATTTACGAGAATGAGTTAAAATAAGAAGATTGCCAAATCCCTAAATCATTATTAACCTGCTGTGTGTCGAGACAATGTATTTTCTATTGTGTCTCATAGACGGGCATTTAAGTGGTTAAAGGTTATACTATGGTCTTGTTAATTATTTTTTGTAAGGAAGAAAAACATTTATTTCACAGGCTAAAAAACAAGTAATGTGTACAGATTACTCAAGATTAGATCATAAATATTGGTACATGTTCATGTACCCAGTCCGTGGCAAAATGAGAACAGTTATCATATCATAATAATATACATATCATATATGAGTAAGTATATAATTTTACTTACTGAGCAATGTACTTGGTAATACCAAGAGAAACCGTTGGGAACACAATAGCCCATATAGGCAGCATTCTACCTCTGCTGGGAGTTCCCCATTCTAAAATGCGCATGAAACCTTCCCTGAACACATCTAGTATTGCTGGTTTGTCACTTGCAATGTCACTCTGTACTGTTTCAACCAAGCTCGCTGAGTAGAAAGGTGTAATGATTGCTAAACTTACACTGAAAATAAATTATAAAATGGTAAGTAATAGACTACTTCTCACTTTGACTAGATTTAAGTGTTACATTGTTCTCGCACAATCCAAACAGCAAACTATGTAACTGGAGAATTGTATTGTAAACCTGATTGAAAAAGAGTAACCCATGGAGTTTCTTGCTCGTTCTTCGCCATAGGAATCTACACCTTGGAATGAGCAAATAGCTTCACTTTTAATCTTATTGTTGACGTTCAAAAGTGCCTTTCTGGTCTAATTGAAATATTTGACTTTGACAAAATAATACATTAATATTATTATGGTTGATTCATAAACAATTTCTTACTGCCAAAGTAAATGTTATACGCACGATTTTAAAGTTATATGCTGTAGGAACTGTACGACGGAATCACATTTTCCAATGTCCCTAAAAGAGGAAAACACTATTAATATCACAAAAAACAGTAGGGTTCATTGAAAAAAGAAAACTATAATGAAGGTGGTTACTTAGGCCATCCAGTGCCCTTAGAGACCACATCCTCCACAGCCAAGTTTAATCCTTTCACTATACAAGTGGAGCCAATGCCCTTCCAGAGTGTGGTCACATCTTGTCTCCGATGCAACCGAGCTACTACAGGTAGAAGGGTGTAAGGTACTATGTGATAGTTCTTCAGACCATTGTGAACCTGTAATTATAATAATATCAACATTAGTTTCACTAAAACTCAAAAACTGCTCAACCAATTCTGCTAATTTTCTTTTGATGATTTGGCTTTGAGAGGCGGTACAAAGTTTTGCCTGGTCAGCTTCAATAATGACTATTCTAGAAAACAATAAAATGATAATAGTGGTGCAGTAAAGTAATAAGATAAGATTGACTGATTTGTTGCTGTACAATATCTTTGACTGATTATTAAACTTGTAGTTATTATGTATATAACATAAAATAAAATTACAGCTTACAACTACAATAGGGGACGGCAGAGATGAAAATTATATCAGTTGTACAAACAAATATGATGATAATTTTTTTTAAAGTTGTATATATGGTGCTGCAGCCTTAGACAATAACATGAAATTAAACAAATCAATAAAACTAACATATAGCACAGGATAATATTATGAACAAACCTGGCACTGCCTCCTCAACACAATAAATGGATGACTTAATAGATTTTCTGTGATAAGACTAGCAACACTTATAGCTGTAGTAATATATGCATTGTTATCTGAAACAAATTATTACATTACATTATAGTAGAGTATAATAAGAAATGGTAAATGTTGAAAAATCAATATTACATTGCCTAAATCATTTCTGTGTGAAATATTTTTTTTATAGGTTGTTATGGTCTAGTGTTTAAATTATTGCTATTGTGTAATTTTTATTGACTGTTTACACATTGGCAAGATTTTTCTGGCCGAGTTCCCATTTCTTTGTATAAATGTAAACACTCAGGAATGTCTAGAATGATTCGAGCATGTAAAATGTTCAATTAAAAGTGGGAACAATTTGTTTATGAAGTTGCTTTCAATATATTTATATTTGTGTTGTATGAACCACATACCTTCTTCAGAAACATCATCCATTACTAACGGCGGTCCCTGAAACTCTTCGGTAACAGGAGTATGGTACCCATAAATCTGCTGATAGCGAGTATCGTACAAATCATTGGTTTCCCTATTAGGATCCAACCCATAAGGCCTGTTGTAGCCTGAAAAATCACCAAATCCAGCCATTCTTGTCTTCCTAAATCATTCTTTTCAGTGGAAATATTTTATTGTGCCTGTAAAATAAAATATAAAAAATCAAGAAACTGTGCTGATTCCACTGATTTCAGTTACATGTTCATATAAATACTAGCTTGATAAATTAAAATTTTCCAACCAATCATACCATTTGAGATGAAAGTAGAGGAATTATAATGTATTTTAATCCAATAAGATTCCATTAGGCAAGTGAAATAGATATAGTTCTACATCGTAGAACATACTTATAGTTAAGTGTCAAAAGTTGCTATAGCCCATAGAGAACAAAATACCCGACTGCACACTAAAAAAAGAGTAAAACAAGCCCCACAATAATATTGATCAATCAAATGCTAAAAACTAATTATGTAATACCGTTTAAACAATACCTATATTAAAATACACTACAATATGTGTTCGTAATCGATAGTTAAATAAACAGAAACTTATTTTGAATACAAATTTACTGAATATAATTTATAAATGTTGATGGAAAGCATCGCAGGCGGGGACCAACAGAGGCTTATTTATAGTCATTTCGGTTGTGCACCATTTAGCAGAATTTTCGTTGGTGGCGGTCAAGGTGGTCCCCGCCTGCGATGCTTTCCATCAACATTTATAAATTATATTCAGTAAATTTGTATTCAAAATAAGTTTCTGTTTATTTAACTATCGATTACGAACACATATTGTAGTGTATTTTAATATAGGTATTGTTTAAACGGTATTACATAATTAGTTTTTAGCATTTGATTGATCAATATTATTGTGGGGCTTGTTTTACTCTTTTTTTAGTGTGCAGTCGGGTATTTTGTTTTTTTAATAATAATTTTTTTATTTATAACTTTTTAGCTGTTTTTATTTCGATATATACAAATAGGGATATATCGAATAAAATCGCTATTTAGAGACGACCGTCAACGACGTGTGCCCTCATGCGTGTGCCCGCAATCGGGCTGTATACTCGAGCATATCCCCCTCCGCACCGCGCCGCGCGCCGCATGCCAGGCCACGCCCTATCTTTTTGCTTGCTAACGCATGAGTTGCTTTGCGTTGACGCAGAATTAACATGTTCCCGTGGGAATTTTGAGAAAAAACGTATCCTATATTAATTACTCCCGTGATTGAAATGAATCTAATGATACCGCATACATATTTTTTTAAAGGGAAATTTAGAAAAAATATTATTATGTCTTTATCCCGTGGGACTTTTAGGATAAAATGTATCCTATGACACTCCCGTAATCAAGACAAATCTAACGATACCTCATACATCAAAATCCATCAAGCCGTTTAGGCTACAGGTGGTCACAAAGGAAAAGACATACATACATACTTACATACACTCGAAAAACATTACCCTCCTTCTTTGGCAGTCGGGTAAAAATAGCCAATAACATCCTTACGTTACGTAAGTCGATTTTAGAATTATCATGGAAGTGAAAATATCCGATATCCGACGCGGTCACCAAGTTGTCTGTAATGCAGTCTCTTTGACAAGTTAATCTGTCAGTTGGTGACATGAATGATCTGACAGATGTACGCAAACGCAAAGCAGACCAAAACAGCCAAGACGCATGATCAAAAAGATTTTGTACGGCTAACCCGACGAGTGAATATCGATTATAAAATAAGACAAAAGTTCTCTAACAAAAATGAGTCGTACGGTTTTAAACGGAATTTGATTGAATTAAAAATACATGATGCTTGTCAAGGCTGTGCTGTGTTTATCGAGTTTACACTTCTTCAGTAATTATTTTATTTATAAATTGGTGATGAACTATGGCATTTATGAAAGTGGTGCTGGTGGCCTGGATGTATTGTGTGATGTTAATTGCAGGTGTTGCGGCTCAGGAGCAATGTACAGATTTGCGCGGTCGGTTGATTTCCCACGGACTTCATTATGTGCCTGGCCCAGATACTTGTACTCTGTGCGTTTGTGACAATGGATTGCCAAAAGTGTGTAAGGCGGTCCTATGTTCACCTCCTCAGGTGAGCCATAGTTTTCCTTTCTTTTATTTGGGTATCAAATCAATATTAATCATACAATAAAGTACTACTACTTGTTGTTTCATACAAAAATGTGCAGTTTTTATAACTTAGAGCATTTATAAAATTATTATAAAAATATTTCTTTTCCTATTTTATTCTCCATTTTTATCTCTTCTTCTTTATCTGTAGATATTATTCATGTATCTAATATAAATAAAGTAGCAGAGACATTTCTCCTTTACCCTACCTACTGTAATACTAGTTTACAGATATGAAGGGTTTACTCATTAAAGTTCTGCATGAAAATAAAATAAAACTTATTAACTACATTATTTATGAAATTGTTGAGGATTCAAAATATTTATTAATTGTAAAAATCTTGTCATGATATCAGAATCAGACTTACAGGTTAAAGTAAAATACTATGCATTAAAAAAGTCTTCAGTAGCTCATGAATTAATTTTCAATTGTAATAAATTAATGATTATAATTTATCCTTATATTCATTAACTATTAATTAATTATTATCCAATTAAAAAAATAAATATGATTTATACAGTTTAACACTTACTGAAGTTCATAGCCTTTATTCTTAAAATATTTTGCAATATCTTTTTAACAAACACAGGGTGACTGTAACTGACTGTACTTCCTGCCTTTTGTTTGGATAGTTGATTGCACTTTGATTACAAATACTTGCAAAATAACCCAGTTATGTCAACAGTCAACTGCCTTTCATTTGTTACAGTAAACATAATAAAATGTGTTACAAAGTTTGAGATACACTGAGAATGAAGAACTTATCTGATTAATGCAAAAAATGTATATAAAACAATATGATTATTTGTTTATTTTGTCCTATTAGATTATTAAATTAGAAAATTCAACAGACAGATTCGCGTCGTAACATGAAACTCCTTTTCGTCAGTAGAGTACATGAGTCTTATTATTATTTAATTCAAAGTAAAATAGCCATTTATAACGAAATTATTTAAATTTCGCGCAGGATTGCCGATCTTTCCGTGTGGGTAACACATGTTGCGAGTTCATTTGTTTGGACGACGTCGTAAAGCCCGCGGAAGGGGCGGAGGCCAATGTACGCATGGCGGCCGGGGGCGCTGCCGCCGTGGTCCTCCTAACGGTCGCGCTGGTCGTGTACCGAGTTAGGAAGCAGAAGCGACGCCGCCCTCCACATGCTGATGACCAGAGGAGCTTAACTAGCATTGGGTATGGATATCTTGAGCAATTAGCTTTTCAATCATGACTTTCTATGTACTTACCTAGTCATCATTGGACGTCAGACCCAACAGATTTTACTCAAAATGTAATTGAGTCTTTCGGATTTCTCAGCAATGGTCTCGAAATTCACCTGTGGAATAATGGAATGGAAAATAGGGCGTCCTATTATACAACCGCAATAGGTAGTTAGTTACCGCACAAACTGTCGTTATACATATCATATGTTATTATTTTATTGTGAAAGTACGCAGTTTTTGTAGGTACATTACAAATGGCGCCACGCATAGAGGGGCGTTGAACTGATCGCAAAGCGCAAGCGATCTGGGTTCGAAATCGCAACTAACTCGCTATTAGTTAATTGCACGTAATTACACTACCCAATCGAAAAATCCTAAAACCACAGGCCCACACTCTACACGAAGCGTGACTCGTCTCCTGGTGGGTTTTATAGGGTCTTTTAACCCTCAAACAATGATCTGATGCACAAGCAAATGATCTGATAAAACCTTCCAAAGTAGTACATGTTTACGTTCTCATTCAGTTGCATAAACCTCTAAGAAAAGAGCGTATTCCTTTTTAAAAAGCCGGTCACGCTCCTGTGACCTGGTCTTGCCGGTATCCATGGGCGGCGCTGATCGCTTACCATCAGGTGATCCGTCAGCTCGTTTGCCCCCTATTCCATAAAGAAAAACTGCATGTCTGGTAGTATGGTAGTCTGTTGTCTGACGCTAACAAACTTCAATTCAGTTTTCATCAGTGGGTGATCAATGTTTATAGTGATAGGTTTAGGTATAAGCGTGTAAGATAAATGAAAGTTTAACTACTGTGGGTGTAAACAATATACGTAATACATTATTAAGTTTTCGGAACTCGACTAGTTTCAAGCCATGCTAGAGACTCATATTCATGAGCAGCATTTCGCGACCTGTGACGCGGCGACTGTCGCGCTGCTACTACTAATAGATACCGTGAGTAATTAGTAGTAGCAAACACAATGATTTATTTAGTCTCACGAAAGTTATAATACAAATATACGTAATATTAAATAAACACATCAGCCTATTGCATGGCTCTAATCATACTTATTTCTTCATTTCTTAAACCACATCACAATATGAAATGAACTGCCTATGTTTTATTGCGTCTTGCAGCGGATATCGCAGATTAGGTTGTTGTGTAACACATCACTTGACGTCCTTGTAGGTAATTAATATGTACTGCAAGTTACCGGGTACCGGTGCCATACAACTTCATTGTCGCAATTAGATCTAACTGACGAACTGTCATGACTCATGAGTACGTAGGTACCTAGTCGTAGTATATGTTGTTCGTACGAGTGTCGCGTGAAAATATTTAAGTATGATTATTTTTTTAATGGCTGTGTTATTGAGTTCACAGATTGCTTTTACTTTATAAAAAAAAAATATAGTAAAACAACTAACCGCTCTCTTTACACAGATATGGTGTCCCATCTTTCTCGCAAGTAGTTCTTAAGTATACTTTTTAATTTGTCAAATATAATAACTCTTTTGTCTCATATGTTTCATTTCTGTGATGTTTAAATCACTTTAAAAGGTGCGTTTACATCTAACGAATGAGAACCATAGCCTTGGACTACCATTTCAGTATGGCCCTCGAATATTATGTGTGCGTATTGACTTCACCAGTTATCAGGCGAATTTACACAAACATGTGTATGACGAGCTTGTTTGTCGTTTCGTTAGACAACAGTTATTGTATCACGCCAGGCCCATTTATAGTACCTAGACACAGACAATATAGCATAGCTACCCAGTACCTACCTATTATTATAACTTGAATACACCTACATATCTTTGATATAATTAGTAGAAGGATGTTAGATTCAGTCTAAGTATTGCTAAGTCTTTTTTTTTCGCTTCGGCTTATACCCAATTCTATTTTTCCGTTTCCCCTGTCAGATTTCATCTTAACAACATAACCTCACGCCTTTTATCCCCGAAGGGGTAGGAAGAGGTATATATTACGGCATTTAATGCTACTATGCAATGTAACACCAAGATTTCATCTTAACACTTTGGAAAATACAGCCTTATATTAATTATTTGTTAGCAACTTATCAGACGACATCACATCAAAAACGTTTTTTCATATCGCTCCTGAGTTCCTGACACAGTCTATGAGTCTATGCTTTTTTTTGGCCGTCCTTTTATATCCTGGGCGGATTCCTTTCAAATGGTTCAGCCATATTTGTATTGTTTTACCAAATAGCTTTACTAGAGGACTGGCCGGCAGACTGACATTTTTTTTATATAATTTTAAAGTGCCTTCTTGGTCTTTTTTATTGAAATTAATGATTTTGACTTTTATAACTAAATGTAATCTCTAGGTACATCAGTGGCAGTATGGGCTACATGGGCGGTACGTGTGAGACAGCGCTGGCCGCGTGGAAGCCGTCCAGTAACTACCTGCCTAGAGGAGAAGCGCCGCCTCCCTACGACGAAGCCATCGCTCAATGTCGACCAGAAAACATGAGGTACCTCCTCTTCTAGAAACAATTTATTGTATCTATGATCTGTATTTATGATGAAATCTTGACTTTTATACAGACACGCCATAGTGATAGACACGAATTTGTCTATGAGCGCTCGTATAGTTTACCAAAATTTTGCTTTACCAAATTTAACAAGTGAGTATCAATTGTGAAATAACTGACAAAGGCAGCCCTGGTAAAACACGTACTTTATCTCTCTTGTATCTCCGTAACTACAAGTCTGATTTGAATAATTCTTTTGTGTTGGACAACGCATTTATCGAGGATGGCTGTAGGCTATAAAACATCACACTACGACCAATAGGAGCTGAGCAGTATTTAATAAGTTACTTTCTACTAGGTAGATACTAAACTGAAAAGCACAAACAAGTCACTACTCGTTGGAGTGTTTGCAGGGACAGTTCACTATTGCATACTTAAACTTATTTGAACGTAAAAGATGAATTTACTTGTTTACAGAGTGTCAAACGAGCCATCGTACCACCGCACGTACCCGGCGACGGTAGAGACGATGTCTCGGCCGGACGACGTGCCGTGCGCCGGACACGGATACGTCAACGTACCGCGGCCCGTCACACAGGTCACATATTATGTATGACTTTATTTAACCTACACCTAGAACAAGTAGACACTGCCCTACCCCTAGTGGATGAAGGCGTGAGTTTATGCATGTATGTATGTATTGTACTTAGATAACATTTTCTATTATTATCATGGTCTTTATGAGTAAAATTGGGTACTTGCTTTAATCACTACATAGTACAAAACAAAGTCTGTCCCTATGTATGCTTAGATCTTTAAAACTACGCAACGGATTTTGATGCGGTTTTTTTTTAATAGATAGAGTCTTAAGGAAGGTTTATATGTATAAAAAATGCATATTGCACCCGTGCGAAGCCGGGGCGGGTCACTAGTCAAATGTAAATCATTTCGACAGTTCAATACAATAAAATGTTAAAAAATAATAATAACACTTTCATTAATTTGACTAACTTAATTTTAGCATTATTCCAGCAAATTTTAAAAAATATGCTGTTTGACGCAAAATAACGTGACGTCACAGTGCACAATCTCGTACAAAATGCATAGACCTTAGTACCCACGTACTGTAACGGGCTGGTGCTGAAAATCAGCGCCGTGGGCTCGAGCCTCTGTGCCCGGTCCACGGTATTAAGCTGAGCTCCAGCTTTTTGCACTGCGACGCACCATGGGCTTTTTTTGTGTTTCTAAATCAATGGTAGCAAAATAAATGGATTTTCTCTCTTTATTTCTTATACAAAATTGACGTTTTTTACAATTCGAAAAAGTATTGAATTTGACTAGTTGTCAAGTACCCAATTAACTCTTCTTGCATGTTTGTCCTAATGAGGCCATAAAAGTCCGGTGGTTCTTGATAAGTTACTTTAGAACTCAAACGACCCCTCTATAAAATATTTCCACTTCTATAGAGACCTAGTAATGCACCGACAAATGAACAATAAAGTCTCTGTGTGTTTTTTACTAACATAGAATATCTCATGAACATTTATATCTCCCATTATGCCATGATGCCATATATGCAGAGTGATTTGTAACTCGACTCTCCTCTCGGGAGGTGATAATGCAACTAATTTCATACAAAAATAGCCAAATTAGTGACTCAAAACAAAATTTGATATTAATTTAATGCTATTTTAAAATGAATGATATTTCTGGAAGTATTAGATTAGTATCAATAAGTGTTAATTGATGTATTGACAATAAATTAAAATTAATATCATTTAAATCAAAATAATAGTTTTTTATTTCTTGTGATATTTTTGTAGTTAGATCGGGATTTTTTCACCAAAACCGAAAATGTTGAATATTTCATAAACTAGCCACTTTCGGAATAATCCTCAGGTCTATTTTTTTGGGGAATAAGTTGTATTATCACCTCCCAAGAGGAATAACGTCGAGTTACAAGTCACCCTGTATGTACCTCTATACAAATCTGTTCGGCACCGTAGTGTGAAAAGTGCATAAGAAGCTAAACTAAAAATGTTCGATTTCATTAGTCCCTACTAATGTCTAAATATCTCATAGTATTGTTACGGCTAAGTACACACCATGAACAGACTATAGAATGAGCTAAAAGCTACATATCCGTGTAGTTATAGGTCGCGGTTCCCACCCACGCGTGTCCGTTGATCTGTAATCAGCCTTATAAAGGCGTGGGTCGCTATTATCGTACGCGACAGTAATGTAAATGTCAGCGCGCAAAGCACTCGATAATGAAGGGAAATGAAGGGGCTTGAACTATGACACAGGAATATAATTATAGCAATTTAGTTATTACCCGTGACTTTGTTCGCATATTCTACACCCACCCTGGTTAAGGTGGGAGGGGGTGCTGAAAATCTTACTGAATAAAACCACCCCATTCCAACTCCTACTAGGAACTGGCGCTTCGAAACCTTGGCGACCTTAACCGGACACTTTTTACCTTAGGTTCTAAGTTTATTCTATCTCTGTCGACACTTTCATCAAAACTGGTTCAGTAGTTTAAGCAAAAAATTCTAACAGCTAACTGACTTTCTCGTTTAGTTGATATTTTTCGTTTATGAGATAAATTAAAATGTTCTTATCATCCCATAGATCGCCAACACTCAGAACTGTTACAACGCGCCCCTGCTGCAGCCGGTGCACCAGCCGGACAGCCGCGAGCCCGCCTCCATGACACATCATCCTCTCGCGCCCAACAGTAAGTACCATACCAGTACCTACTTTACTATCATGTAGTAAACTTCATATTGTTTTGATATCAAGAAATGGTCGAAAATTGTCTGAATTTTATTTCGACGACCATTTCTAGTCAGATAATGTCGGTAGTAATAATTTGTAGAAATGGTTCATCGATTTTATATTAATAATTAACAAATTTTCTTAGCTTTCCAGTTGGAGATGAAAACTTATATCACTCTCCATCTCCAGACACATTTAATATTATAAAATATTCAGTTTTAATATAACAGTAAAATAAAACAATTTCGCATTTACGATATCAGTAAGGACTTACTGACAACAATTTCATTATGCTGTAAAAAGTTATACAATTTCAATAGAATTCGGAAACACAAAGCAGCATTGTTTGTCAAATTTCCGAAGACAAAGGGCGGTAATAGTTTCGAAATATTATCCAAGTGTCGTAATAAAGAAATAACATTATTCTAGTTGCGCAAGTGTAATAATACGGCATTCAATTGTGTTTTGTTTATATTTTGAGTGAGAATGGATAATAATAACAAGTGGGAATAGATGTTAGGCCGACGTAATGAGATCATTCGTTTGCTAACCGAGTCGTAATGATAACATAATATACGAGTAGATGACATCACGTTGTATCTGCTATTCGGAATAGGCAAAGGTGTGAATGTTAAGTATACATATGTTTTACTACAGTTATGTCTGTCGTGTTTCTATATGGATGTTGAGACAGCCTTTGTATTTTGACTGGTTCTAGGTCAATTTTGATAACTTTGAACTGTATGATATGAATTTGAGTTATATGTTGTATTTCCATGACTGAATTTTACCTGTTGCGTAAAGGCAGGTTTGTTAAAACTTTGTGGTTCTCCTATTTTTATTGGTCTGGATTTGAAGGCACTGCTATCATCTGAGTTTCGATAGATATTGATTGCACGGTTAGCGCGGTAGATGGGCAACTGGCTGCCGCGCAACGTGTCGCGGGTTCGATTCCCGTACGGAACAACTCTTTGTGTGATTCACAGATTGTTGTTTCGGGTCTGGGTGTTATGTGAGTGTGTGTAACTTGTATGTTTGTAAACGCACCCAGGACACAGCGAAAATCGTATTGTGGAGCAACGTTTAAAAAAAGAATAATTATTCCTAATCCAAAATCGTTGGTTTGATCTAAGTTTTTGATATAAGTTCAGGTTTTGATTTAAGATCGTTTATTGATTTGACTGTTTGTTTCTTCGTCGTAGGGTAGTTAATTAGGAAACGCTTAGCTTATGTAGGTACATTTTTAGTTAGTAATTTGATGCCATGGATGTCTTGTGTTGCCCAGTGGTGGGGTTCCCCAGCGCCATTCGCCTGACGGGGTCGCTGGGCGCCATCAGCAATCGCGGGCTGTTGTCGGTGCTGGCGCGCGAGTCTGACCGCGGGGCCGACCGCGGACCCGACCGCGACCACGAGCGACCGCACAACGTGCCCGGCTTCTACACCAACGCGCCCAACGTACATACCTCGCTGTCAGTACTCTTTGTACTCATACTTATTTTGGAAACTTAGAATAATTTTGTAAAAACAAACTACGAAGTGACTAAATTGTAAATTGAAATCAATGCTTGAGAAAGATATACTTATATACATTAAGGCCTTTGTTAGAATGGTATTTATGAAGGTATTCTCATGTAAAAGGCGTGATAGGTAGAATCTACAGAATGCAAGCTATAACAATACATGCATTCTTTAGCTTCCATTAAAGTAAATTACAATGAAATTAATTGTAATAAGAAACACACGTCTCATTGAGTTCATCTATCTACAATAGGGTAGATGACTATTAATGTCCGTCGGGTAGATTATTTAAAAACATTGGACACGTATTTTTTATTTTCTTACGGAAACAAATACTTTCGACGATATTGATTTGTAAAATGGGGTGACGTCACTTTTGTGTACGTGTAATCCTCAAAAATGACGTATCTCCCACTTCTAAACTTTGATTCACTTTATCCTAGTATTGTTTTTTAAACGATAAAAATACATGTCTAATATTTTTTCATTACTAAACTGATTGACTAATTAGATTTTTAATTTTCATATTCTGTCATCATCTCTAATTTTTTTTTTTTTTTTTTTAAATCTTACATTTCTTATTCTCCACGGACTCTTGTCCGTGCCCTTGTCATTCCATTACATTTTCTTTTAATAATTTACAGTCAAAATTACTTGTTACAAAAATCTTACGTGCTACATTAACCACATTTTTTTTTTTTCACAAAGAAGGTTGTGTCTAAATCTAATACCTATATATACACAATACATGTTTTATTACATTTACATTAACCTTACTGGATCGGCCCACACGCGCGATGAGCGAGCCGACCTGCTCCAGCAGAAGGCGCCCGTTCACGAGCATGACGTGAGGGCCAGCAATCGATCCGATCAACCATTTCGTAGGGAACGGAGCGACCCAGCCCACAGCGCCACCGATCATCTCTAATTTAAGTAGCATAAAGTATAAATATAAAGAAATAATAATAAAATAAGTTAAACATTCCAGGCACCGCACTATCCCCCGTATATCGACTGCCGTGGACGCTACTCTCCTAGACACGCCTATATCCGGGTTCAACCGCGCGGACCGTTCGCTACACAATGAGATCCGCCGCTCCTTCCACAAGCCCAGCGACAACAACCGACACAACGCCGACACTGGCCGCAGCATGCCCAGGAACCTTAACCTCGCTTCAGCTAACGATATCACGAGGAACATCGAACCAGTCGATGTGGACACGTAAGTCAAATTATACAACAAGTTTTGTTTTCGAGAATTGATGACTCGACCGCGCACGCTGCTCATGAGGAATAACCCCTCTGTGGTTCGAAACTTTTCTCAGTATATTCACGTGAGTAACCCGCGGTTTTTAGTTAATGACTTGATATGCAATAAATATTCTTTATTGACTTGACTTACAAAAACTGACATTCCTGGGTTCTTTCGAGATCCTAATGGTTTCATTTGTGTAAAATATAAGTATTGGTGTATATTGCAGGAGCCAGGCCCGTTTGAGCGGTAGTACAGGATGGCGAGGCCGGACTCATAGCGAGGAACATAACGTGGGCGCAGAGCGGGCCGCAGACACTGCCACACCTGCACCGCATGCTCAGCACACTCAGCACACTCAGCATAATCAACACACTCAGCACACTCAGCATAATCAACACACTCAGCACACTCAGCATACTCAGCATCCTCAGCACACGCAGCATACGCGAGGTCCTCACGCCCCGCCCACGCCCGCGCCCGCGCCACCCGCGCCACAGCCCACACTGCCACTCACCGTCGACAAGGCAAGCCGAGTTTAAAACATCATCTTTAATAATTATGCAGTAATTTTAAGGATATCATGGCCTGCGGATGTTCTATACTCACTGTTTCATTTTTGCGTTGACGAATTTTTTTTTTATGGCATATGTAAATGTATGGTGGTATGGTAAACGAGTAGACGGATCACCTGATGGTAAGCAATCGGCGTCGCCCATGGATACCTGGAACATTAGAGGCGTTACAAGTGCGTTACAGGCCTTTTGGGGAATTAGGAGTTTGAGGATCTTTGGAGATTCAGGAATTGGGGAGATTGGGGAAGGGGAGGGTAATTGGGCCTCCGTAAACCTCACTCACACGACGAAACACAACGCAAGCGTTGCTTCACGTCGGTTTTCTGTCGGGCCGTGGTATCACTTCGGTCGAGTCGGCCCATTCGTGCCGAAGCATGGCTCTCCCACACTTAAACTGCCACAAACATACGGATTAATCAATGAATGTGTATATTGTGTTGACGTTATGTCCCGTAACTTGTGCGTAGTACGTACTGACTAGTCGTGTCCGCAGCCGTCGTGCGTGTGCAGTTACTCGGGCTCGGCCCCGGGCGCGGAGGACGCCGACGACTACCGCAGCGAGTGCGAGAACTGCAAGTCGGCCAGCAGCTCTAGGTAACACTTTTTTACAATTAATATGTTTAAAATTTAATACTATTAAGATGACAAAAATTTTGCGGTCTACTGGAAATCGTAACCTACAGGGTCTTTATTACATCACTGACTTCATCACTTCTTTTATATAAAACCCAATGCTCGTCCTCTATTAGAAAAACCCCAGCAGGTTACTTTATCATACAACTTAATTGTATATGGGATGTAGTTGTTCTGGAACATGGGATATTATGTCTAGAGGATATCTTAGCACTAACATCGTTGGTACAGATGGGTCCTGGAGGAGGGCTGGGAGGGGGGCGGGCTGGAGGGCGGCGGGACGCAGACGCTGCAGCGGCGCGCGCCGCCCGCGCCCGCGCCGCCGCCCGCCACCGCCACCCTGCCGCAACCTGTCACCAAGCAACCGTACGTACGCCTCACATTACATTGCACTCCAGCTATATCTAGAAATTTCTAATGAAAAAAATGCCAGCTTTCATAATATTACCTACATACTCATGGTAATTTTGACCTGATGCTGCAAGTGTCATCTGAAGTCTGCAGGGTGCTCAACTCCTCAATAATTAACAGCTGAAGTATTATGTTTGGGCTCATTTTAATGGCGACAATGCATGAAATATAAATGGATGATAATCATTTGGACCCGACGAATTACAATTTTAACTTTTGTAGAAAAACAACTATGACAACATCGGTGGTTGCCATCAATGTCTATATGAAATGAAAGCTATAACAATATAAAAAATATGTTTCCGTTTCACAGTCGAACAGTGATGGGTCCTCCGTCTAACTGGGAGAACTGGTTCAACACGATCCCTGACTCCGACTCCGAGTCCGAGGAGGAGTAGACACGCTCACTACCACAATCACGCACAGCTACGTCACACACAACTAATTACGACACCCTGACAAGTATTTAACTAATGGAGTATTCATGTTTCATCATCATCTTATCAGCCATAGGTTGTCGACTGCTTGAGGCTTATAACATTAGCCTCGCCAAATACTTTCGGCTCGGGTGGATGGAGGCAACATGCATCCACCTTCTTTTAAAAAACTTCCACATACTAGGGTTTTATCTTGAGTTGTGGGTGTATTTATAAACACATAATTTCACAAGTAACGGTCACCTTTCGACCAGGTCATTCGATAACTACTAAAGCTTTGGCTGGCGACAGAAAACTGTTAAAGGTATTTGCCTTCACATAATTTCGTCAGCTAATAAATCTTACGTTTACATTTCATTGGCATATAACGTGTTAATTTGTTTGCAAGTTGGCTTTACGGAAAACCTCGGTTTATCAGTATATGTCTTGTAGATGATGATGATAATGATAATGGCTGTTCCCATACCAATATCATTTATGCTCCAGTATCTCTCCATTCGTTACTAACTTGTTCTACCACGAAATACTTCTAACATGCTTGGGGTGTATGCTGGATAAGGATTGTACTCAGTATGTAAATGTTGGCAAAATTAGGTAGGAGCTCGAATATAAGATATAATGGCTGATGATTCGACACCCATTCAACTGTTAGAAGTATCTCGTGAAGCGGGGTGTATAACACCTGTGTTTAAATCGTATGTCGTAAGTTTCAAAATGTATTATTAGATTTTTATTAAATTCTTCACTTCTTTATTTTACGAAGTAAATGTTAATAGTAAATTATGCCAATATTTTTTTAAAGATGGCTAATTTTATTCTGTAGTTAGTGCTAGTTACAATTTAGACTTGTCTCTTTCTAAGTTGCTTATGAAGCAAGATAATTTTGTCATTACATTTAAATATTTACATTCTTTAACAGTACCTTATTATTTATTAAGGAAATCAACCAACTATACAGTTAACTAATTTATTTTGTTGTTTTGACATTCCTTTGATGATATTATTAAGTTTATTTTACAAATGTGCACCATATACTAGTGTTTTCTTTATTTTTATGTATTGTTTGCACATGTAATGTGTTCTTTTGTTAATAATGAATTAACATTTGTTGCCTAATACACTTCGCCTATGTATTAAATACCAAAGATTTGTTGTTTTATGTATATTGTGTTTTATAATTAATTTGTATGTGTATTGTGTTGGCCGTGGCGTTTGGAAATCTCGTACGAAAGAAGGCAGCTGTCGGTTTACGAATAAATTGGCTTGTTTAACCAGGTTTCAATTCGAAATTGTGCAATACAGCTTCATTTTTTTTTACTGACATTAAACTACGGCCAAAACGGTATGTTGAACTCTTCGTTGTTTATTTATTATACTAAACCAAAAATTATTACAGTTTCGTTGAAATATAATTTGACATTAGATATAAGTATATCTATTTAATAATGACAGTATTTTATTAATATAATAGGATTGTCACAAATTGATCGAAATTTCCTGTTCAAATATAAATCAAAGAACTAGTTTTGAACATTTTCATAGGTTACATAGTGCCAAAAAAGAACTGACAGAAGTTTGTAGTGTTATAAATATTGTATGTTACAAGCGTGGTGTTACAATCTACTCCGTACAATCTACTTCGTACAAGGAAGATTAGACCTTGTTTCTTTTAAATTAGAATACAGAATACAATGATGCCACTGTCTGATTGTCAGTCTGGAATTATTTTGCACGAGTGTCGAGCTAGTTAGCAATAGACTAGCTAGCTTTATATTACATGGGAATATAAACTGTCGAAAATTGGTGTTACAATAAATATGTCTACTCACCCGTTCCAGGAATAAACACCGCAGACAATTTGTTTCGAATCTTTGTTACTTCTAGACAAGGCTACATTAGGTGTACTTATTTTCCCGCTGATATTTCCATCTTCAGCTCTCCTCTATTGTCAATAGTACGAAGTAAGATTGTGACGTCATTGCGCAATGAAATGCTCTGATCAATAAAATGCCTTACACTGCAATACAGATGACATTTGATGTTAAATCTAAGAGAACGGCAAACCTTTACTCTTAAGTACTTTAGTATTAGATCTGCATTAATTTTACAGTTTATTTGTAATTTTTCATTTATGGTAGTACTTTCTAGGTTTCTGCTAGCGATTGTAATGCAGATCTAGTGCGATATATTTTAGTATCATCGAAATAAATGTAATGTGTAGTGCGTTCTACATGTACTGTGTTTTGTGGCTTCGTGTAACGTCTATGTCATAATTAACGCAAGTAAAGGTGTTGGTTGAGGCTATGAAACTGGATAAATGGTTTAAGTACTTTTAGAAACTCCAGAAAATGTAAAGGTACAAGTTGACTCGTCTGACGCATAATTTCCGTTGAAAGCCTACTTTTTTTTACTGAGTTCATGATTTCAACAAGCACTTGAAAGGTTTTGTGTTTATTCTATTTCGTGTTTGCGTCATTCACGCTAGGACATCTCAGTACATGTGGACCGTACTACACAGAGTAGCGTTTCTTAAATTGATTGATGCGTCAAATTCTAAAAAAATAGATTCGAACTTTTCAAATGTAGATTTCTTATAATTAATTGTTTTATAAATACAGTTATTTGCAATACATTCGATGAAATGGATTATTAGTGGAATGTTCTAAGTCTAACCAAAGAGAAAGCTAAGTAAATGAAAATGTGATTGTTATCATATAGTGTGATAGAGGTCGCAGTGTAGATGTTCAAGCTCAATATATTAAAGATACCAGTTGACTTACAACTTGAGATATTAAAGTTCAATATAAAGAAGTAATACAAGAATATCTAGCTAAACTATATTTTTGTCTAATAAGATTATGGAGCAGTAAGATTATTCGTATTAATAAGATGTCTTTAGAGTATAATTAATAAGAAATTAATATTTTACCCCTTTTTTTCTAACATCGCCGTGTTATTTATTTCATGAAAATGTTTGTAGGCAGATCGTATGAAAGAAAATAGAACATTAAATAGTCTGAATTTCAGGGTTGTAAGTTAAATAGCACGTGTATAATATTTAGTGGTAAAATAACGGAACATTGGCAGCAACAGTGCTTGCTCGTTCATCATATTGGGGATGCAAGTATCTGTAGTTAGGACGTTTAAACGATAACTTTGATTTATTTATTTCATTTGTCCTAGGGAAACTAATATTTTCAATAATATTTCAAAACTTAACATCTGTTATGTAACACCAAAAAATGGCGAAGTAGGAACGAAAGGCTGACGTCTTTCGCAACGCATAGTCTGGAGTTTTTAATGGATGTTTTGTAAAAGAAACGAATTAAAAAACACAATGATTCAATGACATTTATTTCACATTTGTTACGCAACAAGCAATAAATTCGAGAGTAACTGTTGATTAACATTTAATTTATTAGATAGGCATCAATAGTTATAATGTTTTCGTCTAATTTATTAAAATTGTAACTCATATAATAATTATCTTTTCCGGAAGATAGCTGTGATTGTTCACTGATGCCGTAACTATCGATAAAGTATATCGATTACAATGATTCGATTAACTTGATTTTACTATATCTTCTGAGCTCTAGTGAACATGACAGCTTTGACCGATTTGTTAACATTCCATTCATTCAATCATTCAATTGACTTAATTTTAAATTTCAATGTGACGTCATGAAATTGGTGACGTTTGCAGGTCTCCAGTATTACAATCATTTCCGAACCAAATATCTTTGTTTTAAATTATGAAATAAACAAGTTAATGGAAATGTGTTGGTGTTGTTTTATTTGTTTGTTTTATAGCTGTTGCTGTAGTTGTTTGATGAGGAACATGATGAGTATGATAGCGAGCATTGTCTTTGATGTTGTGATGTTGGAAGCTGCGTCTTCTTCCTCTGGGTCGGGCAGCCAGGGACCGCATTGCCTGTAGCCTGCTTCCTGTAAACATAAGATTGAGATATAAAATTGACTTCAAATGTAGGTAGATAATATGATAAAATATTTGCAGTGCTATATCATGATGAGTGGACAGGCAGGACATATATGAAAAACCTAATGATGAAACTAAGAAGTCATTTGATAGGGCAGGTAATATACGAATATAAATCTAGATAATTAAAAAAATAGTGTCATACACGTGCGTAGTTATGCTGGTAGCACTTGACATGCGGCGGGCGCGATGGCAGTGGAACTCTGTTGCGCCAGCATGCCAGCTTGCTTGCTGAACTCTGTCGGAACCCTTTCACGTCTGGGTCCACTTCCAGGTACTAGGAAAGTAGGAAGAAATTGGTTATCAGGTGTTCGATGGAGATTAGGCTAAAGTTGTGGAAGATAAAAAAAACTTCATGAAGGGTTAAGTACCTACACCTTACCTTAGGGAATTACTTTCTCTTAATCCATAGATGCATTTATAAAATGCAAATCCCACATACCTAGGTACAAATCATATATTCTATGAGGTAATGTTATATGCGACACTGCACGGCAGCGACATGTCCAGCCAAGTGAGCCAAGTAAGTCAACCGTGCAGTGTCTATTAATGAGGCATATCTATTGCAGTACCTTCTTATGTTAATTATATAATATGTCAGTACATCCTTATGTTTACGTTCAGCGTCTGTATGAGAGTGTTTTGTATTTGTAAATGCACTTACTATACAGGAGAAAATCCCATTAATATGTGTCACGATTATTTTTAAAAGAGATGACGTACAATTTCGTGACTTCTATTCCAGACTTCACCTATTAGGTATTCGTTTTATATAATATCACGGTGTTACGGTAGTAACACCAGAAGGAAAATTATTGAATATTCAAAGTATGATTAATAATTTGCTGCAATCAACTAATAGATTGTAATTATAGTGTGCAGATGTAATCTAATAAAATATTTGATATAGGTACGTGGACTTTTATCTTTTAAATGATTTTGGAAATCATACGACACGCATGTTTGATTTTAAAATATTTCGTTTATTTGGGAAGTGTCTGATTGGCTAAAAAAAATCAAATTGTATAGCAGATTACTACTGTATGGTATATGTACTAGGTATGGGATATCGTGGGTGCGTTTACAAATATACAAGTTTACATACAAACGACACACAGACCCGAAACAACAATTTGTGGATCACACAAAGAGTTGCTCCGTGCGGGAATCGAACCCGATACACGTTGCACGGCAGCCGGTTGCCCAGTTGCGTACCAATTGTGCAGTCATTTGAACTTTGGCTCGTTACTGTCTTCATTCTGAATATATTCATAAATTGATGAAAACCATAAATACAATTTAATCGTTTAAGATGAAGCAAGATGGTTGTGGGTGAGTCCCTGTCTCGTGTCTCCGGGGAAATGTCCTCCAGTGCAGGATTTTTTAGGGAACGTTCCAACCTGTGAATGAAATTTTACCTGTTCATTAATAAGAGGGTCGTTAACAGGTTTACCCCTGAACGGGCAATTGTTATACACAGCCACCAACAGCAGATTGGTCTTTGGTACCCGCGCCGCCACTAGAGGCCAACTACATGGCTGCGGAGGTCTCTTTAGAGCTTTTTGCGCTGTTGTGGTATTCTGAAATAAATGTTAACGGTTACTCAAGAATCCAAAAAGGTCTTTTTGTCGGCTATAGTACTTACGAACACGTGTAAATAAATAGCGTTATAAATATTTTTTTGAATATTAGATTTACCTACCTTAATTTATATTATCTTTCAAACAATTGAGTATGTAATATTTATTAATAGTAGATAGTTTTAAATGAATCATCAAAATGGGACAATGAAGAAACTGTCCAATCTAATAGATTAGATATATAATTCGAATCGATATATCTATCGATATTAGTGCTTTGATTTATACGACAATGTCTATTACGGAAGATTGAATAAGAATTAGACATAGGTATGACGTCGTTTTGATACAAATATCCTTATTCCTAAAATGGCTTTCTTTGACCTTTCATCATCATCAGTTAGATCAATAATATATGTCAACAGTAACCGTGCGCAATAAACTCTTTGCGTCATAAAAAATATGTACATAATTTAGAATAGGTACCTTCCGTCTATTCCCTTACAATGCTTATAAATATTCATTTACAGTATTTGTTCGGTTCAGTTAGGTTCGGGCGTGAAAGTTCCTCCCTGGTACCTACCTGATATTATCAGCAATATTAACTTATTTTAAAAACTATATTGTTCAATTGTACATATTGTGAAGGCCATTTTGGAAAACGCACAGAAAATGCATCAGTGTGTGTAGGATAGTATTATATGCATAAATATGAATGTACACCATATATGTGTGCACCCAATTACTTAGAATACTTGGTGTTTTCATATCAAATTAATTATCAACGGATATTTATCTTAGACATGTTTTTTACATATGCCATACATCGTATAATTATGTTCGTTGATCGTATCTGAACATAATAATTGATTAATTATGGTCCCCTAACTAAGTGCTTATAGAGGTATAAAGGCTACGCTTCCTACATTTTTGACTTATTTCTGATTAAATACAAGTTACATTAATTAAGATAGTATATTTAATCTAAGTAGGTAGATGCACTTGTTCATTTCACGGATTTTTGACGCTTTAACCTATTTAGTAACATGATAATGTATTTCTTGAGGCTGAACTCATTGAGGGCGCCAACATATCGTAACCTTAAACTAAATTACTATAAAAATATGGCGTAATTTGATATTTTCGCATCTCCATATATAATATATTCATTTTCATTGCCAATCTACAGGTCGACACTGATCTTCAGTACAAAATAGGATTAATCTGAATTTGAATAAAGTTCAATTTCAAACTGACTACGGAAACGCCAAAGATAAGAAAACTAGAAGCGATAAAGTACCTGTAAAAGATAGAGCACCCTAGATCTATCACAGGCAGCGAATCTTGTTCTATTCACGAGTACGCGATCATCATATAAAGTCTCGTACTTCTCTCGTTCGTAGTCTCGCCACAGTCGCTTCTTGCGTTTCTGTTTCTCTTGCTCCGTGTCCCCCGACACTAGTGTTACACAACCTGTCGATATATGACGATGAGCAAACGTGTACATTTCAGATTTGAGTTCGATCAGTGATCAATATAAGCGTAATAGGTATTAAGGTATCAATTTACGTATAAGTCTGATTCGTATCTCAGGCTTGTGTTAATCTTGATGTAGCTTTTGATCGGACAAAAAATACTTACTAGAACTAAGTACGGCAATGAGAGTGATCATCTCCTGAGTAACACGAAGTATAATGCCTACTGACCGCCACAGTGACCTTAGAATGGACGGCATCAACTGCAAAATTAATCAGTCACACATTTTTTAAATAATATAATAATATTAACTGCTTAAACATTTCAACTTGATGAAAGTATTGGGAGTCGTTTACGTATATGATTTACGTTCGTAAGTATTTAAGCAAAATAACTCACAGTCATGGCGGAATTTAGAGGTTCATCTTCGGGGGGGAAGCAAACTCCTTGGTAGTCGTGTATCCAATTCATTTCAAACACACTGGCATTGAGTAATGCTTTCATGGCCATTGGGAAGACGGAGGCAAAGTGTTCCCGAAGAGGCTCATCGGGCTCTTCAGTGAGGTTGCGGCCCTCCCTGGCCACTATCCAGCCGTACTCGTCTATCAACACACATGACCAGGTCACTCCATCGCAACGAGCTCGATAATCTTCACATTCGGGACACTAAAAACGATAAAATAAATGTACTTAGGATTTTCTAAAAATTTTATTCTGAATATTTCTAGTAATTATCATTAAAGAACAGTCTTGATACCTAATGAGGAATTAAATAATTACTGTTTAAAATACTAACTCAATACAAAGTAGTACCTATACAGACTTTGCAGTAGGGTCAAAGTTGAACATTTATCACGAAGGATGTTTTACGAATTCAGATGTTAAAACGTGCAAAATGCACTTTATGTAAAGGTCCAATTGGGTATTCTTTGTAAAAAGAAAGTGAAGAGAAAGAAAACGATGTTACAAGTCAGGTTCAAGTTAAGTACATAAGTTATTACGCTCGTAGTAGAGGTCTCCGAAAAGCGTAGACGTCGTAGCAAACACGTAGCACTTGCTACGACTTGGCTACGATTATCCTAAAAAAGATTTTCAGATAATCTAATTCAACGAATTGCTATTCGGGGATTCCTATAATCAATCTGTCAATTATAAAAATATTTAATGACTTTTTTTATGTATTTCGCCTCAGTATTGCATGCTTAGATAAGATTTGTTATTTATGAATTTATTAAAAGTGTTTTATACTTCGATCAACAATGTTGTTATTGTTGATCGAAGGTTTTATAGTTACATCTGTCAAGTATGGCATTTATTTATTGAGACAGCAGATTGTTCTCACATTCGTGTATAGTACAACCCCTCATTGGCAGTTTTCGTATGTAGGTATGTACGTTAGTCTCAAGTTGTAGCAGTAGGCGAGACCTACAGTGAGTCGAAATAGATATCGATCTTAAGATTTGTCTTTGTGACAACAATAGTAAATATGACCTAAAAAAAATATGAAAGTTGGAAATCATATAATTGAATACTTACTGGGAAGTTAGTAACAGATTCTAGTAGATCGATGAGGTGTTGTGGATGGAAGTGATATCCCGCTACTCCTATAATGCCGTGCTCTGCGGACCCCAGTGTCCGCGCTGCGGTCAGCCATTCTGATCGTATAGTGTACTGAAATATTAATATTATAAAAAGTCTATTAAATAAAGCAGATATACTGTAAAATGAAATGCCCCATGTTATTTATTACATGTTTTAATTATACACTAGACATAATTACAGCTTCCGGAATAGGTGAGAATTAAAAAAAATGAAAAGCAAGAAAATATTACTATTTCGAAATTTAAAGGACTTCTTTACCAGACAATTGAGGCTTTAATTTATCAGGGTTTACTAGTTTTAGTTAAATAAACTTTTAGACAGTCTTAATGAAACAGGATTTAAGTTAGTCAAAAAAAATAATGTTTAACTACTTAAAAAAGCCTACGCTTATACCCGAATACTGGAAGGTTACTGAATTTTAAGTAGTACTTAAATATCGTGCCATCTCTGTCATTTTACAAAGAATTAGTTGTGACAGAAATATACTTAAGTGTGACTTAAAATTCAGTAGCGTTTTGTATTCGGGTATTAGACAAATAGACAATATCCGTGAAGTTTCTACTCTTAGTTGAGGACTGACAGTCTCACTGACTACAAAACTTTCTGAAGTTCTTTAGCAAGTTAGTTTAAAACGTGGAACTTTGTAAAACCCGAGACATCTTTAGTACTTAACTATATTACATACTAGCAGCCCGTCCCGGCTTCGCACGGGGTAGACAATTATTTATTTTTAGTAATTTGGATTTTTGTAGGGACATAACTACAATAGTTGGACATATGCTACCGCGGAGTTTTTTGTAGACATTATGATGTTCTTCAATATTGTTGTACATTATTTTGTTCTATCGCTAATAGTTTCGGCAGCGCATTCGACGAAAAACATTTTCAGACTCATTTTTCTACACCTTAGGTAACATTGTTCAAGTTTTACCAAGGATCCCTAACTTTTTTCAAAATGAAATGTAGCCTATGTCAAATTGGAAGAATGTAGCATTCTATTGATGAAAGAATTTTTTAAATCGGCCCAGTACTTTTTGAGCCTATTCATTACAAACATACAAAAATAGGTACAAATCTTTCCTCTTTATAATATTAGTATAGATATAGATATGTAGTACTTTATTAAGTTTTACAAGATCATTCGTTGAGTTACTCATTTACTGATGAGTAAGGCTCAAAATTACGCCAAATTTCATAAAATTTCATGACATATCCGAAGCATGACTGTTCATTTTAAATTGATAAGGTTTGAAAAAAAAAACACCAATATCAGTTAATTTTCGTTCTCACAAAAATAGTGGTGTAATAATGTCATTGTTAAAGATCGTATCGTTAATTAAATTAAGTCAATTTAATTAATAAGTGAATTTGATCAGTGATGATCTATCTGATAAAGGAAATTATTCTGAGAACGTGCATTGTATGCATTACATTACACTTGTATGTGAGTTCGTGGCGATCGATTTTAGAACTAAGTAAGTTTTTTTATGTAGGTAACCTTCATAATAAATCTTGTAAATAACGTAAAAACTACGTAAGTATACTTATAACTACTTACTACGTATATAGTTACAACAATTTTTATCCGACTTCAAAACAAAGAAGGTTCTCTGTTGGACCTATATGTATGTATATCTGTGCGTGATTATCTCGCGATTGGCTGAACCGTATTTCAAGCTGTTTTCAGAAAAGTAGTTGTTAAACTTAGGAGAAGGTTTTAGTATATCAATCAACGGACTTCAAAAAAGAAGGGGGTTGAAGTCGAATGTTTTAAACGTAAGTTGTACGTTGTACAAACTGACGATTTACATAGGAGGTAATAGTGAGCTTTGTTGCTTATGGAGGATCCGTTAATCTTTACCTAATCCCAAAACCTTAAATCTCTATAAGGCTGACCACGCACTTATAACAAGTTCCTTTTGTTTTACGAGTGTCCGTGGGCGGCATCGATTGCTTACGATGATGATAGATATGACAGATGAATCATCAACTGTCTGTTTGCCGCCTTATGCTATAAAAATAAAAATACCCTACATAACGCTATTGAAAGTATAGTAAGATGGTTGCAATATAGGAATTTTAATAAAAGCAACCAAACCAAAATACTAGTAAGATCGGTAAGCCGATATGGTCGTTAATCTAGGAACACAAAATTTGTTTCGATTTGTAACATGTTTTATTGTATGTTATCTTGATATATTGCATATACAGTCATATTGAATTTTTATTGAATTTTCATCGATAACGATCATCCTGTTATTTATTAGTATATAGATATAAATAAAATGACTAGAGATCCGTTGAAACTTTGATTGGGTTCCGACTAAGTTTCGGTTCAGGTCAAGAATTTGCAAAAGAATTCGTGAATTGTCTTTTTTTATAGCATAAGCCGGTAAACGAGCAAACGGATCACGTGATAGTAAGCAAACGGCGCCGCCCATGGACACCCAAAGCACCAAGGCGTTACCGGCCTTTTGGGAATTGGGGATTTGAGGATTGTGGAGGTATTCGGGGATTCGGAAGACAGGGAGAGGGGTAATTGGGCCTCCGGTAACCTCACTCACACGACGAAACACAACGCAAGCGTTGTTTCACGTCGATTTTCTGTGAGGCCGTGGTATTACTACGGTCGAACCGTATTCGTGCCGAAGCATGCTCTCCCACACTTAAAACGTCCCACAACTTTTGACAAAATAAAATGATCTTGTCTCTTTTTTTAAAAGAAAGAAGAAAACAGAAGTCTTTTGTGTAGACCCCACATTTATCCAGCTAATGAGGAACCGAAACTGATTTATTTCAATCTGAAACTAAAATAAATGAAATGGATGATGTAACGCACATAGTCACCAGATATCGGTTTCATCTTTAGTATTCTTCAGATTGCCAAGTCGTCTGATTGATAGTTATCTCTTACTTATTTAATAATCGATGTGATTATATCGAATGCCATTACTGCTTTTTAAATTCTTTTCAGGTGGACTGTGTAATTAATTCTTTCAGTTTATTGTAAGTTCTATCAGTATAATAGAAAGAATAATAGGTAATTATATTCCGTTGTGAGTGTTGTGACACACAACCAATTAGAAGAAACATTGTCCATCAGGCTAGTGTTTAGTAGCTAGGTAGTAGTTGCGCAAATCTCAGATGTACCCTGGATATTTCCACACTCCGAATAGATGTCAAAATACATATTATTATAGAGAAATTAAGTCTGCAATATAATACAAACTGTTTTAATAATAAGGTGTCTTCCAAGCAAATGTAAAAACTTATTAGTCTTATGGCTGTTTTCACCAAATATCCCCTAGACCAACTCTTAACTGAAAGTTACTTAGTGTGATGTAGCACCTAAACTAATACATAAACCCTTACTTGTGTTGTTACGTATCACTTATAAATTGGTGAAACTCACCTATCTTAGCTTACGGAGTGGGGGGGAGGGTTAGGACAGGATGGTGAAATCGGGTATTAGATTTACAAACACTACTTACAGGTGGTGGGCGTGTTTTCGAAACGCGCATCTTTCCAATAGGTTCTACAGGAGCATGTATGATGAGTGTGTCTGGGGACGCGGCGGCGCGCCTGTACCACGACTCCGCAGGTCCTCGCGGCCACCAGGAGCCTGAGGGAGGGAGTGCGTGCGCGCTTGTTGCATGGTACTGCTGCCAACGGGTTAGACCGCTCTCTAAGTAAAAACAAATGAACACTTAGAAGAAAGATAACATTTCGTTTTGATTTGATCCTTCCTGTGTAATTCGTTTACATTTACATATTTGTATTAAATCTGGAACAACAAGTTGTGAATCCCAAATAGAGTTGTTCTGTGCTGTTAAGCAGCAGGTGGTCATTAATAAAAAAACAATAAGTTATACATGTTTTGACAAGGATTGCATTTTTTTTTAAATACGTTGCCGCACGCTAGTATTTTTTCCCGTGTCGTGGATGCATTTACAAACATACAAGTTCACAGACACATCGCACCCACACCCGGAACAACAATTTGTGGATCACACAAAGAGTTGTTCCGTGGTGCGGGAATCGAACCCGCGACACGTTGCGCGGCAGCCAGTTGCCCAACCACCGCGCCAAGCGTGCTGTCAAATGATGCAATAAATAAAAAAATTAAAAAATACCGGTTTTAGCGTTAATTTACTTAGAAATATGCCTAGTCTAGGAAATTGAACATTGATTGATATGTTTACCTAACAATAATAAAGTTTTTGAAATTTTATTTCATCATATATCATCATACTCTTTAGTAGATGAATCATTATCCAAATTCGTCTCACGCCGACGACAAGTATGACAAATTATAATTCTTTGTTAATTCAGAGATAAATAAAATAAATCCGCTTATAAAAACAAATGCAGCACTTGTCGAAACAGGTACAAACCAGTATTTTTTTTAGAAAGAACCAATTTTTCATACCAAACAAATACAAAATAAAGATTGCGCGTAATTTCACCGAATTTCCTTAGGAAAAATACATAAATACGGTTTAATAAATAGCATTTTTAACGACGAAAGCAATAATGCGATTATGACGCAATTGCATCCTATAAGTATTTGGTTTTTCATTAACCAAAATAGCGGACTCTTTGACGTTAGTGTAATCGTCTAGGGAATCAGATTAGAAGACGTGATAGTAAGTTATCGATTAATTTACTTCCGATTATGGATGCTTTTTTGTAATCGTGCCTAAAAATTTTTACCTTTTATGCTACCGTGTGTTAAAGTTTTCATTATTTCAACCCTTTCCGACGTTTGGCCTTGCATTTTTAGATTTAATCTTATCCTAACAACGATAAAGGTAAAATAACTCAGACAGACAACTGAAATAACTGATAAATATTAATTTAATGGGGTTGAGTAAGTTGACATAATGAGGTTTTATAAGAGACGGAACGCTATCCGATTTTAATAACCGTAAGCATATAAATATTGTCGCGGAGAACCTAACGGGTTACCGGGGCTCCGGCTCGACGTGCAGGAGAAGGAACGGGGTGGTTTTTAGTCAGTAAGAGTCTGACACCACAGATACCAACAACTGCTCGACACGCTTGTATCTGAGACGAAATGTCGCGCGCGACGACGCAACGCTACGATCAAGGTGCTAATTGCCCCACCAGCGCATAGAAACAACACTGTCTGACAGTCCCTCCCACCTCACCCAGGCGGGAGCAGCCATTCGATGATTTTCCCCCGTTAAAAAAAAGCATATAAATATTGCTATTAATCACTACTATTTCTTGATTTCATATCATACAATAGGTATAGATAAAGCTATATCTATCTAATAGGCAATAGAAAATAAATATTAGACCTTTGAATGTGATTGTTCATCGTAATCCTCAAATAACAACAAGGACGAGGTCAAAGTCAGCCTTGATAGTGTTATCATCATTTGATTTTTACATTCACTAGTTTCCGCACCTTTAACGATTGCTAGACAAGGATTTCAAGATAAAATATTATGTTAAGTACGTGACTACAATGATAGATTCATTATACCTTTTTTTTAAGGGGGGAAAATCATGCAATGACTTCTCCCGCCCGGGTGAGGCGAGAGAGAGTGTCAGACTCGTATTGACTAAAAACCACCCCGTTCCTACTCGTGCACTTCGAGCCGGAACCCCGGCAACCCGTTGAGGCTTCTGCGACTCCGAATCGGCATCAGCCCTGTTGGGCCCAATCCAGACCACCACGGTCTGATTGCTCTTTGAGGCGCGCGCGGAACACGACGCGCCGTACGCTCGGGAACTTTGAGGACTAAAATAGAATTATTTAATTACCATGATGATGAATGATTTAAAGTACTTCTTGTATTTTTCAGTTTATTGATTTGAATAAGATAATATTTATTGGTTTTTGTCTCGGTTTTCCCTATCGATAACAAACTGATCGAATAAAATGTTCAAGTAAATTATTGTTTAGATTTTCCTGGTTATAATTACTACTTTCAAGGTTGAGTACTTTCGGCAATTTTAATAACACTAGATATATGTATATAGGCTACCGATGCATCGATGGGGCCCAATAGGGTTGATCCCCGATACGGAGCCGCGTATCGGGCATCGAAGAGCAGGAGTAGAAACGGAGTGGTTTTTAGTCAGTAAGAGTTTGACACTCCCGCCTAACCCAAGGCGGGAGAAATCATTGGATGATTCCCTCTTTTTTGTGTGTGTGAACGTAAAACCATTACCTAATTTTATAATTAAATATAGTTTATAATTAAATATAAACAAATATCGATATTGTTTAATTTATATTTTACGTGATAAAATATAATGGTCCGTCTTATGAACCTTTTCGGCCGTTTTTACCAATCATCCCTAAACTGTCACTTAAATAAAAGTAACTTATCGTGTCGTAGTTCCTAAACTAACCCCTTACTTGTACTGTTAGATGTTACTTATAGGTTGGTGAAAACCAAAAAGACTTTTAGTGTATTTATTTACGCTCGAATACTGAAGGGCTACTTAATTTTAAGTAGTACTTAAATATCGTGTTATCCCTGTTATCATGGCGGCGGCGGAGCCCGCCTCTGCTGTTGGTAACAACAACGAAAACTAATCTACTCGCTAAAGCACCTCTTACTTGAGCTTTACGTACCATTAACGACCTTCAGACACGGATTGATGTGTTAACATGTTGTTTTAGTGAATTCGCGAAGGTATTTCTATTTAAACTATGTTATAAGTAAAAAAGTTAAGTACACGTAAAATATATTTACGTGTGAGAGAGCCATAGGCCGGCTCGACCGGAGTGATACCACGGCCTCACAGAAAATTGACGTGAAGCAACGCTTGCGTTGTGTTTCGTCGTGTGAGTGAAGTTACCGGAAGCCCAATTACCCTCCCCTTCCCCAATCTTCCCAATTCCTCAAACTCCTAATCCCCAAAAGGCCGGTAACGCACTTGTAACGCCTCTGGTGTTCCAGGTGTCTATGGGCGACGCCGATTGCTTACCATCAGGTGATCCGTCTGCTCGTTTACCGGCTTATGTCATAAAAAAAAATTAATAATATGTATTTTTAATTTGATTTGATAATTTCAATAATAATATGTAATTTTAAATTAATGCTGGTAAATGTTGTATCGCTTTTACTTATTTTTTTTAATATTGTTAGTTTAGTTGGTGTTGGTTTATTTGGTATGTATAGTATGTTTAGTTTAAGTTCTTTACTGTCGCATTAGGGTATATGATGCCCTGTAATGATAGTTAAAGGTGTTTTTAAATAAATAAATAAATTATACAAAGAATTTGTAGCCACAGAGTTATGCTAAAGCGTGACTTAAATTTAAGCGGCGTTTGAGTGTTAGCGTTATTTACTTATATTAAGGATAGCTTGGTAAAAACAGGCATTAGAATATTAAGTGAGGTACTTAAGCGAATAATGAAGAGTAACAATCACCACTGGCGAAGAATGCGGTGGTGGAGCCGAGCTCGCAGGTGGAGCAATCTCTCTCGGTGTCCGGCTCTTCATGCTCGCGCGCCCACTGATCTGTCGCGATAGCTTCCTTGCAGAATTTAGCCATCAGGTCCTCGTTACCTGTGTAATCAATCAACATATCATTCAGTTACGGTATCGAATTTGTGCCTCTTCACATATAACGACTGCCGGTAAAATTTTTGCGAGCAACTATCAAAAATGGTTCACCGGTGACATATGAGAATATTCCTTCAACAGTTTTTAGTTAAGGTGATAGAACGTATCTGTACACGTGAAGGCACTTCGCCGCCTGTGGAAATATGCTTTAATCTACAATTAGTGGTACTTGAAAACAGTAGTTTTAGTGAATCGAGTTTTCGCACGTGCAAGGAATGATTTTTAATTTCATGTAGTCTTGCATTGTGACATGACATATTTCAGGATTCTTCAGTAATTGCATATATTAATTGTACGGCATTAGAAAGTACTTATTTGAAAGTGTTTTATCATACTGACCGACCGATAACAAGATAAGCCGATAACGTGCGACGCTATGTTAACGTGGATCAATAATAGTGTGGATTCATTGTACACAATAACGCATGATAGCGATGTTGTAGTTTGTCTCATATTCATATATACATCTTTTATAAACATGTTTAGCCAACTAGAAACTGTAGACAAGCTATCACCAAGGTTTAGATTAAAAGTTCTTGAAAAGAAGGGCTTGAAGATCAAGGTACCGTTCCAATGATGTGATACCTTATCGTATAATAAGTTTTAATCAGCTGTATGTTTACAGCGGTAGACGTAACTAGCTAATTTGTAGAAATTTGTAATACAGTTAAAAGATGTAAATAAATACTAGCATTGATAAGTCTTCTCGAATAGAGAAGGCGGTATCGGGCTGAAGAGGTACTTCAGTTTTTGCATCGGGAAGTTCGCCTCATCGCTGCGACGCTTCACGAAGTGACGCACCTCCGCCTCACGCGTCTCGAAGTGTGGCTCGATGTGACGACAGTATAACCTGGATAACATTCGAACTCAGAAGCAGACAGTCAAAGTCAAAGGAGATTAAGAACTTATTTTGATAGGAAAGACGAATGGACTTCGAAAATCCTCCACACTTATGATTGTTTATTAGATAACGATGATGATATATACTGCGCTCGCCAACCCGCCTGCCAAGCGTGGCGAGTATTGGCAAAACCCCCCCAATGGACTGCTCAGATAAAACTAGGCCCCCAGTCTCCGGCAGTCCCGCCGTTCCTGGCTACCGTGGTAGCGGTCAGGCTAACGGCGGGACACGGGGTGCTAAGAATCCCCGGAGGTGGAAACGGCACATAGCGCGGAGAACCGACGGCCGCTGGGGCAGAAAGGTTCTCGAGTGGAGGCCACGTACCGGCAAGCGCAGCGTAGGACGTCCATCCGCAAGGTGGACAGACGATCTCATTAAGGTCGCAGGGAACCGCTGGATGCAGGTCGCTTCCAACCGGCCTATCTGGAAGTCATTGGGGGAGGCCTATGTTCAGCAGTGGACGTCCTGTGGCTGATATGATGATGATGATGATGATGATGATATGTGTACTAAATATAGTAGCTCAGAGCAGATAATTAATTCTATCGCGACTTTCAAAAGGGGCCAACGTTTTAAATCCCGATTTCCCCAAAATTAATCAACATCGGTATTATAATTTTCCGCATAAATGTTTTTGTTTAGCGGATTATTTAAGTATTTCATTACCGAGAATTTTGACATTGCGACATCATTTGACGTCATATCTTCACGATCTTTATTGAATTTACAAATAATGTTTGATAAGATGATTACCAATCAGGGTTCACTGCGTAGTCCGTCCTGGACAGTGATTTCCATGCCTCTGCAGCTAGTTCCTTGGTGAATCTAGCGTCGGGTACGGCGTGCACTCTATTGTTGAGGGGCAGCACCACTATCGCAGTGTAATGGTTCAGTACTCTCTTCCAGTAGTATTGACGATTTTCCAAAATAGCTCGCATTCCATCGTCATAAATACCTTTACCATACATCGTAACATTACCGCTGTCTTTATCTATTATCAGCGTCCTACGGAACTGAAATGCATGATTAATTATATCACCCATGTTCAGGGATTAAACATTTTATTGGATTTTAAGCTTTAGTAGTTACCTTCACCCAGTCTTGGGGATAATACCGCGGTTTATGATTTTCAGCTGGTTGTTCTAGATCCAAGAGGTCAACGGTGCGATATCCTGGTTTTAAAATGTCGCCATCGAACTGATAATAACACGGACATATTGGTGAATCACGTAATGTGTTTTAAATTAACGAATGTATAATCACGCTTATCTATTATTAAATGTAGTATAAATTATAATTATGTTTAATTACAGAGATCAAAAGATTACGATGATACAAAAAAAACCGCACGTCTCTACAAGTCTTAATCCTTGTGAATTTTACATTCGAAATCTGATCAAAAAATATAAGCGAGATACGATACAGTACTTACTGTGTGCCGTACATTATCGTGTATGACTATATTGCCCCGGTGATCAGCCAGGATTAGAGATCCCCCGGCACCAATCTAAAACATGAAGCCTGTTGCATTGCAGGCAAAGACATATTTTCTACTCTACTTTAGGTACTTCTTAAAAGAAAATATAATTCAATCAGAAATAAAGTGTCATTCCGATAATTGAAAACTACATAAATAATAACAATAATAACTTCGATGTTCTATTACGATGCGTCGTATCATATCAAACTGTGGTAATAATGTTGTACATTGAAGATAATTACACATAAGCGCGCAATAAGGTGGGTATAATCCCAGATTTAGGAACATTATCGGACCAATAAGTAGAGGGAATTAATAATATAGGCCAAGGAAAGTATTGTATGAAGCAGTCGTTATCGAGAACGATTAAAGGGCTTTAAATATTTACTTTAAATCAACTGTTGTTTTGACAAAATTTTCCTGTTATCTTGTCTAATAACCATGACCAATTAATTGATTCTTAACATTCTTATAACATAAAAGATTTTAGAAAGTACCTCTACAAACCTAGTTTGATATTTATGTCATTGTTTCTAACTAAAATGTGACAAATTATTGTTAAATTAATCTGGAAACGTACCTGGTGATAAGGGAGGATTAGTTTCAAATGATCGATAGGGATGTCTACTCCAGCCACTCCTAGAAGCCGGTTAACCGGGTACTGGGGAAGAGGAAAGACGTTAATTATTATAAGTTATTGAACATACCTTACAGTCTAACTTCCAACGAAGTAGATGTAAGCCTTAGATACTTCGTGAACATTCGATTATCGGTTCGGGAGAAGTATTATTGAGGATTCTTGGGGTTTTTTAAAACATCTTATAGGAGCCGAGAATAGTACCAGATGTATGGTATTCCACACCCTCTATTACAAGGGTCTCATGACGTAAGTACCTAGTGTAAAGTGGGAGTGAAATTGTACACTTAATGCTCCTGTATCTCCCGTTCTGCTTACCCTTTTGGACACTAAAATGCGTCACGTTATGTTATAATAATTACGAACTTTGGTTACAACATCAAAGTGCTCAGGTCGTTGGTTTACATTTTTCTATGTCTCTTCCGCGTTGAGTCTTATCGTATTTTGCTGGTCGGCAATCATTAGGAAGCACCTACTTACCTATCATGTATCTACGCGAAAATTTAAGTGGTCTTTCTACGTAATTATGATATATCTCTGACATTATCAGATAGTTGTGTACTCTTATTGATTGTTACAATTTTCTTGTTAGAAATAGATAATTTACGTACTACTCACCGTTCTAGTGGAATTCCTTTGTTTTTCCTGTAAACATTAATATTAGTAAATAAATAAATAATTACTTTTTAGATTATCATTAAGGATGAAGAGTTCGATTACTTATTTGAACGCACGTGGCAGAATTGCGATTCTTTTAATTAGTTTTAATGACATCATTTATAGATATATGACATTCCAAACGTATTTAGATGGAAGCAGTATATTAGTTAAATATAAAAATTAAACCGTCAGATAATCAGACAGATTATCAAAGTGATAGGAAAGCCTCAAAAGGTATGTTTGTCACGTGCATTGATTTATGCATTTTATCAGCAGTCTTCAATTCTAAGTACTTTAATAACGTGCGAATACTTCACGTGCGCAACAAAAATAGGTAATAATACGAGTTTGTACGTTCGTTTAAGTCTGCTTCTGAAAATCCATCTACGAATGTTTTATTGAAATTTATTTAATAAACATCTTCGAACTTACCTCATCAAGTTTCTTGGTAATATTCTGTAAAGAAAAGAAATGATATGTCAGTATTTAATTTAGGGCGCAAAACAATAACCAATTTTTAACTATATATGATAAGCTTTATGTACACACACGGCCACACATCAATCTATACAAAACCAGTTTACCCTGGTGTCGCGTCGCATCATCTTTCCGCACATTTAATGTTCAGTTTATACTGGTTATGTAAAGCTCGATGCCTAGCCGTGTGTACACATTGAAGTGTTCCTTACTTCGCTAGTAATGTAATCGAACACTGGAACCGAAACGCTGATCTGCAATCTATAGTTCAAGTCCTCTCCTTCATAATAATGCCCATATCTATTCTGAAACAATAGATTTACGATATTAGTAAATTATCATATATGTGAATGATCCGATAGAGGACCAAAGTTATCGACATAGACCAAAGCTGAAGTGGCAGTGGGCCGGTCACATTTGTCGAAGCACCGATAACCGTTGGGGTAGATGTGGTCTAGAGTGGAGACCGCGTCTAGGCAAACGTTGTGTAGGGCACCCTCCAGCTAGGTGGAGTGACGATATCCGCAATGTGACTGGCAGTGGTTGGGTGAGAAGAGCTGAAAACTGAGGTCAGTGGCGTGCCATTGGAGAGGCCTATGTCCAGGAGTGGACGAATACGGACTGATGATAATGATGATGATGATGATGATGACTATAGAAGGTTTTTTACATTAACTAATACTCACATAATTAACTTGGTACATCCAGTCTTTATAAAGTTGTGTGCTATTGAGCAACTGCTTTTTGTTTCGTCTCAAGTCTTTATATCTGTTCAACTGTTCTTTATTCTCCTTGGCTTTCCAATACAACTCGCCCCTTCTAGGATCCTGGAATACGTAAAGATTACATTCCATGAATTGACCAACTTTAAACAAAGAAGGTTCTCAGTTTGACCTGTACGTATGTATGTATGTTTGTGCGCAATTATCTCGCGATTGGCTTAACCGATATGGATGCGGTTTTTTCAAAAAAGTGTATATTATACTTAGGAGAAGTATTTAGTAAGTACCTATATTAATTAACCGACCTACAAAAAGTGGTTCATAAAAGAATTATTTTCCAATACAAAATTACCTACCAGGTATTAGTCCTGAAATCTAAGCTTGTTTAAGCTTGCACAGTTCATACCGAATCCACGTCATATTAATGAGAGAAAAATGTATAATCGTTATAAAAATGTTAAGTCTATGTTTTCAATTAGGCTTAATTAATGACCGATTTATCTTAAAAATATAAGATTAAAAAGCAATTTCTTAAAGTGTTTTATTGTATTAATCTTTGTTACAACGCAATATTGAGATTTGAAATCTTAAGATAATACAATTATTAATCTACAGTGGACTAATGACGTACAATTTCCGGGAAAACATTACTAAAATCTTTGTTTTAGATTTAAGATGTAGAATATAATAGATGAAATAGAAAATGAAGTGATAAAACCTTGAAACATGTTCCACGCGGCTTGCAATGCGTTTTGGATATTTATTTTAAAACTATATTTGTAACTTATGGTAGAGACACTAATATATATGTTTTAACAATAACCTATTTTAAGAAAACTAGAAGTCTCAAATTCCAATGCGTTGTTACCTCAACATGTGCGTAGACGTCACTGAAGACTGTCAGCCTTTGATTCCTCTGCGAAACTAGAGGCCGCTCCAGGACTTGTAGGATCTTCAGGACTTGTTGTGTGACGTCAAACGGTGTGATGAGCTCCGCGAAGTAACCATCACGTTCACAGCTTAGACCTTCTCCATAGGTGCGTGTGTTATCCCGGAGACCAAAGACATCGTGCAGCCATAACACGAACACTCTATTTTAATGCAGTCCAACTTAGTATTAGGTTTGCAGCCAAACATATTTTTCCTACTTTTCATGAATAAAATATTCGGAAACTTAATAAGTACTTATGTGATAAATTTTCTCTATCTAAGATATTGATATTGTTTGATGTAACCCTTAAGACATTCGAAATAATTTTGTAATGTAATATCTACATGACAAATTACTTGTATCTTTGCGATCGGATCATGTGATTTTTTATCTGAGATCTTATTTCTTCCTTCGATTTGTACGATAGCCCGAAAAACATAACATAATATCTATTCTGAAAATTCTGTATTCTAAAAATTTTCCTGTAGGAAAAATGTTTTTTTTTTAACATATTGAAGATCCTACAAAGTTTTTTTGAAATATTTGTCGTGTTTAAAATAGCCTTGTTAGTTATAATAGTGTACCTATAGTAGGTTGTATGAGTATTATTATTTTTTTTTATTTCTAAAGGAACTTAAAAAAGGAGTACCTAATATTTCCCCCGGGGTCGAGATGTTTCATCAAATGCGTATAGTTGTCGTAGAGACTGTCAGTCAGTAACACAATTGCTTGCTGACAGGCTTTCGGCCGGTCTGGCGTCGAACGTTGTCGTTGTAACAGTCGTGTTGCAGATTCTAAAACGTCGGCCATTAAAGTCTCGTTCGTCATTTTATAGTTATTCATGGCAGCCATCATTGCGGCTGTGTTGACATGATTTGCCTGTAAAATTATCATTTCTATTATACAAAGCTTCTCATTTTTATATATACGTACGTATGAACATCATATTTTTTTTTAAGGGGGGAAAATCATCGAATTACTGCTCCCGCCTGGGTGAGGCGGGAGGGAGTGTCAGACTCTTACTGACTAGAAACCACCCCGTTCCTTCTCCTGCACGTCGAGCCGGAGCCCCGGTTACCCGTTAGGTTCTCCGCGACATTAACATCATATTGGAATCATGTCAAAGAGTAGTTGCATGCTTAATTTGTTACTAACAAATAAAATATCCGTAGTAGGATTAGTATAAGTCGAAATTAATATTACAAAGCGATGATAGTGAAAAGTATATAAATATTAAAAATTATATGAAACAACTAAGTACACTTACTGAGACCAGTTTTTCATTGAAACAGCTAATTGGTGATTCTATGATAACATTGAAACGTAACACGTTCACTCTGTCGTCGTCTGTAAGCGCGCTGAGCAGTGCCAGTGTGAATTGTTCCGCGATGACTTGGTTCGAGGAGTTCTCCATAGATCCTGACGCATCGAGAAGTATTAATACATCACGGGGAGCGCCACCTGCACTCACATACCAGGGCCGTAGTCTACAGTCGTACACTTTATCTGAGTCTTTTTCGGTGTATTTTAACTTATACATGCTTTCCCATAGTGCCGCTGGAAATGTAATGAAGAACAAATTGCAATTTCTAAATAGTAACTCAACATTCGTTATAATAAAAATTAAATTTCAAGCAAATTTTATATTATAATATATGACTATATGACTGCACGGTTGGCGCGATGGTTGGGCAACTGACTGCCGCGCAACGTGTCGCGGGTTCGATTCCCGCACGGAACAACTCTTTGTGTAATCCACAGATTGTTATTCCGAGTCTGGGTGTAATGTGTATGTGAACTTGTATGTTTATAAACGCACCTACGACACAGGAGAACGTTTAAAAAAAATGAGGCAATGAAAGAAAACTTTAAATACATACATACAGTTGATAGATAATACTTGCCAGGATAGTGCCTCAGAAATCCTTGAGCGCTGCAAAAGTATTGAAAGTCCATGGACGAATCTTGAGCATAGTTTTTTTGGAAAGTTGAAAGCAAGCCTTCAGACCAAAAGAGGTGTTCCTTTACATTCGGGGCTGAAAGAAGATTTGTTTTATCTCTAGAAATATTGCAATGAAAATGACGTTTCTAATTTTAAAATAAGGTGTTTAAATGCTTACCACAGTCAAAAACTTCTGCTGAAACATGGACACTGGAATAGTCTAACGATACGTCAGCATCGAAATGTTTACTGTTTTTGAGTTTGATTTTACGCAGATTCCTACAGCTGAGTGGTTCTTGGTTCTCTTCTAAATCGCTTTGCTCAATCTTCTTCTTTACTTTATCTAAGTCCTGAAATGGTTTGATTATTTTTACTTGTGGTTTTTGCGTTATTAGAACCTAACCTTCAGTCATTTCATTTTTTTTTACGATGAGTACAAAGTTTTATCATGATTAAGTATTTCGATCTTGAAACTTTTTAGTGTTAATCCTAAGATAGTAGATAACCAGACTTCTCACTCATATTAAGCTGGCCGATTAGCAAAAACTATAGTGAAAGAAGAATAAACACTTGCGTTTATACAATTGAGTACCCAATATTTGGTACCTCTAGATATGTGGTAGGTAACGCGCATAGCAAACTACGGTATACACAATAACACACATGCATCCATGAAATAGATATCTAACTAATAAATACCAAAATATTGAAGAACTTTTTCATGTAGTTGCCAACTATTGCTTCGGGGACAACCCTATAACTTACAATAAAGAAGAGAATAATGATCTGAATATTACTAACTACGCTGTAATCGAAAGTGTAGCTGTCATCTGGTTCAGCTTCCATTGTTGCTAACTCTTCTGCTCGTCGCATAATTTCTTCAGCAGCATGAGCTCGCCTCGATAACAATTCTTCTAAATCTTCAGCCATTTTGTGAACGATAGCAGTACCGTTGCGTATTTTTATTTTTATATCAGAAAAACTTTTCAGAAGCACTTCTCTACGCACCACAATCGCTTCGTTTTCGTACAATTTTTGTGAAATCTCATTTGCCCAGTCTTGAATTCTGTGGGATTGTGTTATCGTTAATTTGGAGTAATTTGTACTTAAGTACAAATAATTATCAAAAATTTCTGAGACATGTACCTACAGTGCAACTTCTACCGTGGGCACGAGATGCGGTATATCTGTTTAGATTTATGTTTTAATTAGAAACGTATCGGTTACATACCGTCAGGATCTGCTTTCAGATATTCTTCATAATTTAACATCTATTCGTCTGAGTAAACATTCATGAATCTCGCAATTTATACAGTTTTCTTAGATACATCTAGTGCTTGTACTTATTACTTACATGTCTGGTGGTATCATTTTGGGAGGCGCTTTCGCTTTCTTGGCTGCAACGGGCACTATTTTCGCATTAACAACATCAGTGATTGTTACAGGTTTAACTTCACTTTTATTCTTAGTAACTTCTAGCAAGACTTCTTCATGTTTTTCCAAATATTTTTTAATGGCATCGTCAGATTTATTTATTGTACCGTTTTTTGATTTAATTTTCACAGTTTGTGAATAATGTACGAAAAATATGAGGACTATAAAGTTAATTTTCATGGTTGTAGCGTGAACGTTAGTGTGGATAGGTAGGCTTGTTATCGCGGGTGTATGGGCGGGCGGGCCGCGCGCCCAGCGAGCACTGTGCAGCCTCCATCGACGGCGCGTCGCCGCGACGGCTCCCGACATCCTGGCGCCACGCACCCCATTTGGCTCTATCCCAGTCATACAATATCTTAACTTGACCCGAAACATGTAAACTAATGATTTGTATTAGTAACTATTTATCGAAGTTTAAATAAATAAAATAATCCAAACGGAATATTTACGCTAATTATATAAATACACAGTATAAAGTGCAAATAATAATAAAAAAGTTAAATAGGGATGAGAGGGTATGAAAATTAAAAATTAAAGTTAGTTTGTCAGCTAAGTAATGAAAAAACATTAAACACGTATTTTTTATTTTGTCGTATAAGAAATCAATACTTAGTTAAAAGGAATCAAACGTAGGACGTAGCTACGTCATTTTAGAGTATAAATCGTACTCAAAAGTGACGTCATGCGACATTTCAAATCAATCAATATCTTCGAAAGTATTCGTTTCCGTAAGAAAAAAAAATACATGTCTATTATTTTTAAATGATCTACCAGACGGAAATTACATAACATAACATAACATCACGCCTTTTATCCCTGAAGTGGTAGGCAGATGTGCATATTACGGCACTTAATGCCACTGTACAATGTAACACCCACTTTTTAACTGACGGAAATTAAAATAAAAATTTGTCATCTACCTTATTCTATATTGTGAATATTTAAGCGGTCGTACCTTCGACGACTAAATTTAAAATTGTAATTTAAGGATTACGCATTAATTCATTTAAGCATATTACATCGCTATAGGTTTATAGACACGTATGGTAGGTTGTTACCTATATCAGAGCTGACTGACCGTGGTTTGAATACTACCTGACTATTAAATAACGTGCCGCTTTTAAATCTATTTTTATAAAATGATTTACGAAGTTTGACAAAAAAATACATCATAATCTGTACTTAATGTCATCACCATAATCAGCCTGTGATTATCTCACTGCTGAGAAAAAACTGCGAATTGCAGATTTCAAACTTATAATTAGAAATTGTAGTCTATGTCTAGATAAGTCTAGATCTCTCCACGATGTTTCCCTTCACCGCATGTCAGTCGTGTCTAAAAAGTACATTATCTAACACGGAAAATGTCACCAGGTATCGAATCCGCTCTCTCATGCATAAGAGGCCCCTACGGCAAACATAAATGAAATATACCGTCATACATTACTAACATATTTTTTGAAATTAAGAGAGTTTCCGTAAAAAATCATAGTTGTCGTAGATATTTTGTATCACAATTACTATAAAGTCGTTATAATTACAATATATCATTACAACACAAGTGTGGGAGAGCCATGCTTCGGCACGAATGGGCCGGCTCGACCGGAGTGATACTACGGCCTCACAGAGAAACGCTTGCGTTCTTGTGAGCGAGGTTACCGGAGGCCCATTTAACCCCTCCTCAAATTCCCAATTCCCAAAAGGCCGGTAACGCACTTGTAACGCCTTGGTATTTCGGGTGTGCATGGGCGGCGCCGATTGCTTACCATCAGGTGATCCGTCTGCTCGGTTACCGGGTTATGCAATAAAAAAAAGTCATCATTACTATTTATCAGCCACAAGACGTCCAATGCTGAATATAGGCAGGCCTCTGAGTAAATGACATTACGAAAAAAAGTTTTGGACAATTTGTCTGAAGTGGCACATTTTAATTTTAGTATATAAACGTCAGGGCTGACGTTTACGATACATTGAAATTATCAAAGTTGTTTGGTACGGTCAAAAAACGAATCGAGGTACATTCGACGGGGCCCCGCTAGGCGGGGCTCTTATTTCTGTTCGCAGGATTTGAAGTAATATAACAAATGGTTACCATTCTAACCTATTTGCCTATCGTGTATGGTTGCCTTATGTTCAGTTTTTCAAGATTTACTTTTAAGGTTTTTATATTTACCAATTAAATTCTCTTTATTACGTAACGCAACTCTAATGCCACACCGTCTGTATGGGTTAATATATAAGAAAATTACATTTTAAAGTAAACAACGTTTTTTATTTCTGTAGCAAATGTCATTGAAAGTATATATAATTTAAATTCTTGGAAGACTTATCATTTACCTTTTATGTATACCTATGTATATAACGGAACCCAGAACTGTCTAGTTATCTCATTTCTACTGTCATAGGAAATAATGAACATGTGTCAAGACATTATTTTTATGTTAACTATGAAAAGTCAGTTTTTATATACATACCTAATTCAATTTACCTGCCGTGCAACGTGTCGCGGGTTCGATTCCCGCACGGGACAACACTTTGTGTGATCCACAAATTGTTGTTTCGGGTCTGGGTGTCATTGTGTATGTGAACTTGTATGTTTGTAAACGTACCCACGACACAGGAGAAAATCCTAGTGTGGGGCAACGTTTTATTAAAAAAAAACAAAAAAAAAAAAAAAAAAAAAAAAAAAATTTTAAAC